AGATTTAGGAAGATATTAGAGCCATGAATTTATGAAGTCATAAAAATCCTTCCAAAATTACTCATGCCAAAGAAAACAGAAAGTTCTAATTTTTCTGTTAGAAAAAATCTATGATCTGCCTGTAGAAAACCATTTAAGTAGTGTGATTCGTACCTTGGAAACAATGGAAGGAAGTTAAATTTCCTATACCACTCATACCAACAAAAGGAATTCTTTCACAAATCTCATTATACGCACTTCCATTTCTCAATACATTTCCAAATGAAGAACTTCATGAGTTGTATCGAAACAAAATCTTCCCTCTGCAATTAATAAATCGGTTGGTCTTTTGAAGAATTCTTGGGTGATCTTCCTTTGGATTCCTTTGTTCTGAATTAGATCCTAACAAAAATAACATCATTTTCTTCAATTCTTCATCAAGAGTAGTTTTATAACCAAATTACTTTTGGATTATTGCCCTTCTCAACCTCAATAACAGATGATTGAAAACATTAAATGTGCACATGTGGACTATTTTCCTTGGACAAAAAGTTCAGAAATTAATTTTCCCTTTTTCATATCTAGAATTAAGTACGTTATTTAGAACATTTTGAAAACCCTAAACCCAAGCTCTAAGAAATTCAGATAAAAATGCCATATGCGCTGAAATAGTTTGAATGTGATTATCGAACACACGCTTAGCAATTTCCTCTTAAGATCCATCAATTTCCTTTACTATAAATGCATATATACTGCCAAAATTAACGAAAGCGTTTCACTTCTACAAACACGTTTATCTCGAAATGTGAACGCCAAAAAAATATTTTGCAAGAATAATGAAAGCATTAAAGACAGATGAATATGATTCAACGACTCGAATAACCAATCCTTTCAGTTTTCATGACGAAGAACAAAGATTCTATTCTTATGATGATAAAGTGGGTAAATACTTATTATACTAGCCATACTCAATAAAAATAGGAGATCGTAATCTCCTTGGGTCTGCATAGAGGTTAGGCTTAATTAAATTACTTATAATCATTGATTTGGAATGAGCATAAAGACATTAATGTTATTGTGCAATGTCAAGGCGAAAATTCTTGTCACAAGCCAAAGATATGACTTTGGTTTTGTCGGCTTGCTCAATTTGGCAGTCAGGTACAACTAGACCTTTCAACATAACATCTCCTCTGCCCTCCCCATACTCATAAATCTTTGTGCCTCAAGCATCTTACC